TGGCTCGCCGCCGGTGCTGCAGCTTTCAAGCAGAACGCATTCTACATGCAACGAGCCATTGTAATTTTCTTCTCTTCGTTTTCCTCGGTGACTATTTTGCTTTTGATGGGGGAAATTGAGAAATTTCTAAATCCGTTTGGTACTGTTCATACCATGAAATTGGATGTTAGGGATTAGAGGAGAACCCTAATTTTGATTTTGGGAAAACTTTTGTTGTTGTTTCGTTTGATTAGGACTCGAATAATCTGAAAGATGCTCTCAAGTATTCGGCTCAGATGCTCAGTGAGTTGCGGACTTCGAAGCTTTCACCTCACAAGTACTATGATCTCTGTGAGTTGTTTCCGTGTTCTGATCTGGGATGATCTTGGGTTTTTTTTTTTAGAAAGTGATCATATGTTTCGCTTAATCCCTAAATTGAACTTAATAGGGTTTTTGTGATTTGATTTGATGGTTTTAGATATGCGAGCTTTTGATGAGTTGAGGAAACTTGAAATTTTCTTTATGGAAGAAACTCGGCGTGGTTGCTCAGTCATTGAACTCTATGAGCTTGTTCAGCATGCTGGTAACATACTACCTCGTTTGTAAGTGACGGATACAATCCCTTTCTTGTCTGTTTCTATGTTTTTGGCAAGCTTTTGAATCATTGGAGGTTTCGGAAAATTGCTAATGCCTTTTTTTAAGATCGTTTTAGTCCTTCTTAGCTTAAATTTATAGTCTCAAAGATGGTATTTTCCCCGTTTCTAGCTAGAGTACTATCTGTTCATTTTGTTTTTCCTCTCTGTAGATATCTCCTATGTACAGCGGGATCCGTTTATATCAAAACCAAGGAAGCTCCTGCCAAGGAAATTCTCAAAGATCTTGTTGAGATGTGCCGTGGAATTCAGCATCCTCTACGTGGTCTCTTCTTGAGAAGTTACCTTGCCCAAATTAGTCGAGATAAATTACCTGACATTGGTTCTGAGTATGAAGGGTAAGCACGTAGACACTATTGTTAAGTTTGCATCTTCCTAGTAGCCGGGACTCGCATGGGGTTCTTGCTTGTGCTCGTTTTATCTTCTTAGACGTAGTTTCGTATCCCTAGTTTCTTTTGACGTAATTTAGGATGTTGGTTGTCTGCTGGGTCAGTTAGCCTGAGATTTAGTAGTATCATTATCCATTTCTATTACAGTCAAGAATATTTTGTTACTGACATACTGAAATCTAGATTCATCTAGTTGGTAACTCTTCTGCTACTCTTTACAGTGATGCTGATACAGTCTCAGATGCGGTGGAGTTTGTACTACTGAACTTTACCGAGATGAATAAACTCTGGGTCAGAATGCAACACCAGGTGAGTCATGATTTGAGATTTTTATACACCCTTCTACTCATTTTGAAAACGAGGTTGCTAGAATGTTTGTACGTCATGGAGATATAGTTATTCTATGAGGGGATGATTCTGATCACGCAGGTGTTGTATTGCTTGTGAATCATTACCCTTTGATGATCCTGAGTTGAGGCTTGCTGTCGGGCTTTCTGGTCTGCAGGGACCTGCTCGAGACAAGGAGAAACGGGATAAAGAGAGGAGCGAGCTTCGTGACCTTGTAATATGTCTTTCTTACAACTGGTAACAGTGTGCTGAAAGTGCCTACCATTCGTTTTGTGCTGATGGAAGCGTGCTTTTTCCCTCACGTATCAGGTTGGAAAGAACCTTCATGTGCTGAGTCAGTTAGAAGGTGTGGACCTTGATATGTACAGAGATATAGTTCTTCCTAGAGTCTTAGAGCAGGTAAAATATTATATGCTATGCACATGCATACACATGCAAAATTGACTTATTCCCTAACCAAAAACTGCTTTTTTTGTTTTTATTGATTTTTCAGACAGTGAACTGCAGAGATGAGATTGCCCAATATTACCTAATGGACTGTATCATTCAAGTTTTTCCTGACGAGTACCACTTGCAGACTCTTGATGTACTTCTTGGGGCTTGTCCAAAACTTCAGGTAGTCTGAGTAGCCCTCTCATAGTTAGCATTATGCTCTGCTCCCATATAACTAATTTGGCTGTATTAGTCTAGAAGTTGTGCATCCACGATGGATTAGTTTCAAGTTTCAACTGCACTTTAGGATTTGTTTGGTGTTCACTATTCTCCTGTTTTTCTCACTTTATCTCTGGTTTTCTTCTCAGCCATCAGTTGACATCATGACAGTGCTTTCACGTTTGATGGAGAGGCTGTCCAATTATGCTGCCTTAAATGCGGAAGTATTACCTTATTTCCTGCAAGTGGAAGCTTTCTCAAAGTTGAATAATGCAATTGGAAAGGTAACCTTTATGTGTAGGCCGTGATCAACTTGCTGTGTATGTGCAGTTGCAGTTTGGTTTCTGTAAGAGAGGAGGAAAGTAATGGCAGCTTTGAAATCTAGTTGACTTGACTTGACTTATTAGCGTCAAGAAAAACATGTAGAAGGCGAAACTATTTTGTTGCTTGACAGTTCTGTCTTAAAGTAAAATTCTTTAACTTTAGACGATTCCATCAGCGTATAGAAACACAGTGTTCTTGATGTGTTAGATGTATTCACTGCAAAACATGACCCTTCTTAACACAGTTCCGCATGTTTGTTCCACTTTTTAAAATCGCCTTTTTCGTTGATGGAATTTTGTTCTTAGTGGATATACTATGATGTTGCAGGTGATAGAAGCACAAGAAGACATGCCTATTCTGAGTGCAGTAACCCTATATTCCTCCCTTCTCAAGTTTACTCTTCACGTTCACCCTGATCGGCTTGATTATGCGGACCAAGTGCTGGTCAGTTTTCTTATAGCGACTGTATTTACCTATTGTTCTTTTCTTAAGCCAAGTTGAAATAATTTTTATTCTGTCCACGGTGCTTAATGGCTCTCTGGATCTCATTTTAAAGATAATCTTGTCGTTCTATTCACATTGCTGAGACATTGATAAATTCGTGATGCCAATCTTTTTATATAAAAAACTGGATTCAGGTTCATCTTTGTTTATTTATTCTGCTGGTGGATGTTGGTTCAGCAATTTTTTTGTTTTATTCTTGTTATATGCATGTGCTTTATATACAAGTTTATGGTAGGTTACTTTTCCAGACGACTTCGTACTCTGTATCGTAGACTAATGTTTTTTCTGGAATACGGTACATTGAATGAAAGAGTGTGAATTTGATGTTCGCCACTTTCTCTGCCCAGGGATCATGTATTAAGCAACTGTCTGGAAAAGGAAAGATTGATGACACCCGTGCAACAAAGGAGATTGTCTCACTTTTAAGTGCTCCCTTAGAGAAGTATAACGATGTTGTCACCGCCCTTAAACTAACAAATTATCCGCTTGTAATGGAGTATCTTGATAATGAGACAAAGAGAGTGATGGCTACTGTTATAATTCGAAGCATTATGAAAAATAATACTCGTATTGCTACAGCAGAGAAGGTAGGATACCTCCGTTCCCTTACCTTTTGGATTAAATCAGTTGCTAAAATTAAATTTATTTGGTTTACCTTTGTAGGTTGAAGCACTGCTTGAACTGATTAAAGGACTTATCAACGATTCAGATGAGCCACAAGGCGTTGAGGTTGTTATAAATATTTAGTGATATTTTTTATCTTGTGATTCAAGACGTATCCTCTCAATTACTTGGGAATCACAAAAAAGAAGAAGTCTAACTCCAAAAGAAAGTTGAAGTTTGACTTACTGTACATATTCTTCTACGCTTTCAGGTTGATGAAGATGATTTTGAGGAGGAGCAGAATTCTGTTGCCCGTCTCATTCACATGTTATATAATGATGACACGGAAGAGATGTTTAAGGTGCATGGAGCTCTTGCACATTCAGATTTATTCATATGTGTTGACATTAGGCTTTCTAGTTATTGAAGCTGGTTCATTGAATTTCAGATAATCAGTATCCTGAAGACGCATTTCCTGACAGGAGGGCCAAAGCGCTTAAAGTTCACCATTCCTCCCCTTGTTGTTTCTGCTCTAAAGGTTTGATTTCTTAAACGAAGTTATTCAAAATGTAATAGACTTAAGTGAATTGATGACAATCTTTAAACCCCCTCATAGTTTTGTGTTGAGTTTGATTAGCGATGACATGGTTTGGTTGTTTCTTTTTAACTGTTATACCGCAAGTGTATCTGAGTTTGTGGAATTTTTCTTCCTAAAATTGTAGCTAATCAGGCGATTGCCAGTGGAAGGAGACAATCCTTTTGGAAAAGAGGCTTCAGTATCTGCTACCAAAATCTTCCAATTTCTAAACCAAGTAAGTTTCATAATTTTTCACGTGCCTAGAGTGTTCAGTTCTGCTTTTCTACGTAAAAAAGTGTTTCAGAGCTACATTTCCTTAGTTAAACTTGGCCAAAGTGTTAATTTCTGTTCATCTAGGTAGAACAGCGTGTTTCAGAGCTACATTTCTTTAGTTAAAATTGGCCAAATTTAGTTTGTACATACGAGCTCATTGAGGACATTTAAAATTCTCTGTCTGACAGGTTTTGTATATATAGCAAGGGTACCACTGATATGTCTTGGACTCCGTTTCTTCATTCTTGTGTTTTCCTTTATCTGTTGGATTATATTGCCTGTTGCAGATTATAGAAGCAGTACCTAATGTTCCATCACCTGACTTGGCATTCCGCTTGTACTTGCAATGTGCTGAGGTAAATAAATTACCCTTTGTACGCATTGATTGGTTTGCAACTGATATCAGTATTATGCTCACAGATTTTTTTTATATTTCATCAGGCTGCGAATAAGTGTGATGAAGAACCAATTGCATACGAATTTTTCACCCAGGCTTACATCTTATACGAAGAAGAAATTTCGGTTAGTTATATTTTCTTTGACATTATTGTACTACTGTTTTCTTGTCTGGTATCTAAACCAAAATAAGTTTAGTCTTTCTCATGCTTCAAAAATTCTTCTTTTTAACAGGACTCCAAGGCCCAAGTGACCGCTTTACATCTTATAATCGGAACTCTGCAAAGGATGCACGTATTTGGTGTTGAGAATAGAGATACTTTAACACACAAGGCTACGGGGGTATTTACTCGTGATATACTATTATGTATCTGATTAGATTCAATTGTCTCTGCTTAAAAGATGATTAAGGAATACATATCCTCGTGCAGTATTCAGCAAAACTTCTAAAGAAACCTGACCAATGTCGAGCTGTTTATGCATGCTCTCATCTGTTCTGGCTCGAAGATCACGAGACTATACACGATGGAGAAAGGTATATTTCCCGTGCCTCAGTAAAATCCAGTTATAGTTTTAACTCACCATCTCATCATACTTTCTTACTTTTGAAATCAGGGTTCTGCTTTGTCTCAAACGAGCGCTTAAAATTGCAAATTCGGCTCAACAGATGGCCAGCACAGCTCGAGGTAGTACGGGATCTGTAACTCTCTTCATCGAGATACTAAACAAGTAAACATCTTTTTTCTTTTTTATCTCACTTTGACACTTTCTCTTTTGAGTGTGCATCATCATCATGTATAAGCTTAATGTAATGTGAATGTGCAGGTACCTCTATTTCTATGAGAAAGGGATCCCACAGATAACAGTTGAATCAGTCGAGAGCTTGATACAACTGATTAAGAATGAAGAATCCATTACGTCTGACCCATCTGCTGAATCGTTCTTTGCAAGTACGCTTCGGTTCATGGAGTTCCAAAAGCAGAAAGGTGGTGCCATTAGTGACAGATACGAGGAGATCAAAGTGTAGAATATCATCATACCGGTAAAAAAGAGGTCACAGTTTGTTTACAGCTTTGGGTTTGGGTCGAGGAAAGAACGTGTGTTTGCGTGTTGATTGCTGCTCGAAATGTAAACCCGGTTTAGGTTTGGTTTATTCCTCGGAATTTTTCCAAGGCGGTTCATGGTTTGTAACTTGTGGAGTTTGCTGTGTTTATACGAATACCTTATTGGTTACTTGTGAGTAATTTGAGTTTCTAACATTGGATAATTAGATAAGGCTCTCATAAAAATACATAAATGTTAAAAGTGTCCATCTTAATGTATTCTGTTGAAAGAGTTTTTTCGTTACAATTGATTCACACAAATAGTTTCACTATCTAAATGAGTGATTAATTGGTCATATGATTGTTTGGTCAAGTGCACAACGATATTTACCAATAAATTGTATAAAGGATAATTAAAAATCTTCACGACTTTTGCGAGGCTTCAATATATAGCCAAAAAAGCTCACAAGACACTATTTGCGTGTGAAGGCATGATATATGAATGTTGCTGCAGAGAATGTGGTGGAATTTTATAAGGCTATTAAACAAAAAAAAAAAATAACGTTTTTTTGTGCGGTTAACCAAAATATCATTTTGTATCCGTGATAAAACAACGTGTTATTGGACATCCCTTATATATTATTTGGAAAGTGATTACTCAAAAAAATTTGTGCGTCATCTGAGTATTAACTCTCCGACAAACAATTATAACATGACAATCTTCTAATGTGACATGACAAACTCTCTAAAAAAAATTTTCTCAAATAATATAATAAACCTGCTCAGCCCACTAATTTCAAATTTGACTAGGGAATATATTATTACGATTGGATGTTTTGTGACCCATCCTCTTAATTATAGGGGTGGATATTATGAAACAAATATACCTAAACTTCACTTATATATAGAAGATAAGAGATGATCAAAACAACTTATTTAACATGCTAGAATCGTGTTTGTAAATGTTTATCATGTTATAATCTTAACATGATAGAATCGTGTTTGTAAAATTTTTTATCATGTTAGAATCTTAACATGATAGATATTAGTACTCTGTCCGTTCATTGAAGATTGATGTTTTGGTTTGTTCACACAAATTAGAAAACAATTAATTTCATTGCTTTTGAACATTAAATATTTTTCAATACCTATTAACTAATAGTAATTCATAATTTAAATACT